ATTACTACAAATACTAATACACTTTTATTAAGCACCGGCAATGACCCAGGGCAAGTGAGTTTAAGTTCATATTATATCCATTTTCATTATCAAGAGAAAAGAGGAGAATGAACAAAGGACTATAATGTGAGATTCTAAAGTAGGAAAAATGAAAAAAGGTTAATTAAAAAAAAAACCCACAGAGTACAGAGAAAGGCTCCAACTGTTCGTGGTCAGGAGCCATGATGGATGGTGGATCTTGTCACCCTGGACTTGTCCCCTATGATTTCTTTCCATCTCTCTCTCTAAAAAAAGATTCTCCTCTCAGCTAAGGACATGGCAGGGACAGGTCGGAGGTGGGAGAAGAGCAACAGACTTTTATCTTAAGGTCCCCTTTGGCTCTGAATTCTGCAAATCAGTTTTCCTAATCCTATCACTAACCAAAACAGAATCTATTTTAACATTAAAATGTAAAAAACATAAAATAAAATAATGAAATCCTGGGAGATATCCTCTCTCCTCCAAAGATCTCTCTTAAGTATCTTTGGCAATGAAAAATCCAAGTAGACCATTCTCACTTCCAAGAGTCCTGGCTTTCTGTGTAGTTTGTCTCTCAGGACAAATGTAAGAAATTTTCCATTAACTACAAAACTTCTTTGAAAGTCTTGTATGGAATTATAACCTCTGCTCTATAATTCTGTGCTCAGTAATTTGAAATGTTTTTCTATGTTCTTTCTTTCTATCAAGCAAATGCCTGATGTTTTTCAGTGTGTAAACCAGACTGGGAATTCAGAACACCAAGATCTCTTGCCTATAACTTTAGTCCAAATTATACATCAAACCTTGATGTCATTTGTGGTATCAGCTAAGGGGGATCCTATGTGTGAGTATGCATGTGTGCTACAGCTATAGAAACTGAGAGATAGGAAATGACTTACCCAATGTCACATTGCAGAACCAGGTCTGGAGTTCAAGCGCCTGAGTTCTCTTCTGCTAAAGTACATGATATAAAATGCCGCAAATGGTCCTAGGAAAATCTTTACAATGTCTCAGTTAGAATAGGAGCACGCATATGTGATGAGAGACAGGTGCTTCTTTTAAAGTTGACTGAGAGGGAAGATTGTATGAAGACACATAAAAAATCATGTGTGCACTACTACATACCTGTGTTGAAGCGCTGTTTGGTGTTTCTCACTGAGCCCCTTGAAGATCACAGATGTGTCTTCCCTACCTCCTACTTCATGCCAAATATGAAGTTCAAATGCAACAAATGTTGACTCAGTTACTGAATTAAATGGAGGTGGAAGTGAACCAAGAATGAATATTCAGTAAGTGGCATTGGGTCAACTGGCTAATCATTTGTGGGAGGGCTCAGTTTGGTAGCAGCACTAGAGGAGGGCTTACAAATCAGATTCATGTGCTGTGTCAACATGAATTGACAACAACTGCACTGAGTCACAGAAACCAGTTAGAGGAAACTTTGTGAAAGTCATTTTCTGGGGATCCCATGGAGCTGACCCTATACTGCGCTACACATATATTCTGACAGTTCTCACAGCCACCTTCTCAGAAGGGCACAATTTTTCCTTTTTTATAGGCTGGGAACCTGAATCAGAGGCAAAGCAGTTTCTCAGTCTCCCTGCTAAGTATGTAACCAAGCTTTTTACCATTTCAAACATATTAAAAAGAATTGACCAACAATCACATGTTTTCCAAAGAGTCCTGGTTCCTTTTATTGAAGAGTGGTAATAGAAACCAAGATCCAGGGGTTAGGTGTGCATGTTGCTACTGGGGTGTTGTTTAGACTTCATGTAGCAAAGTAATATGTGTACACTAACTTGTATATATAACATATTCATAAACATTTCTATATGTAACCATCTCTATCTCATCAGTAAGAACAGTTCTTACTGATGTCTCCTCTTCATCATCACATGGATCATTCTAAGCTCCTTCCCTTGCATATGTGTAAAATCTCTCCAAAAGTAGTTTTTAGCATATGCCACCCATTTGCTTTAATTCTGATGTGCAAGCATCAGAAGTATTAACCTGGACTCTTGTGGGAAATGTCTTACCACCTATAGTACAGTTAATATGCTGGTTTCTACAATGACTTAGATAAGCAGTTTTTCCCCCCACACCTCAGTGAGGTTATTTCACACTTTTGTAAAAGATTCTACTGTCACAGTGCATTTCCCTTTCTGGGATACACCAACTTCTTAAATGATTTTTTTTTAAATTAATATATGCTATAGAATGAATGTTGTCTAACCTCCAAAAATACAACTTCAAGGTGATGGTTTTTGGAGGGCAACCTTTGGAAGCTGAGTAGGCCATGAGGGAGTCTTCATGAATGAGATCCCTGCTCTTTAAGAGATGCCTGAGCTATTGTTCACTCCTTCCACCATGTGAAGACTTAGTGAGAAGACAGCAGTCTCTGAAGTAGGAACTGCTTCACTACTGTTTTTGTATTCATATTGTTTCTGAACCACAGGTCCTAATTAGACAGGAGCTTTAGGAAGATGTGTCTAGCTCAATTCTTAAACCCCTTTTTGACTCCTTGAACGGTGTAACACATCTAAACTTACCTCCAACGGCAGGGAAATCACTGCATTTCTAGGGTACCATGTCTCCTGCCAGGGTAGCTAGAGTTCGCCTGAGCTCTTTACTATGAGTTTAAGTTCAATAGGATTCAGCTTTAGGTTCAACTTTGTAGTATACATTGTTGGTGTTAGATACAAAAGTAAGATGTGTTGCTTAGGTTCATGATTAAACTTTCAGAATCAGGGCCCTGCCTGATGGCTCAATAGGTTAAAGCACAGCACTATGAAGTTTATCCTCAGTCACTGCAGCACGAATTCAGGTCCTGGCCAGGGAGGTGACCCATGGCATGGCAGTCCTCTCCTCACCCAGCCGCCTCTCCTCTCAGCAGTGTATTTCAGTCACTCTGCCAGTTCTACTCCTCACTGTTTCTGGTGAATCCTCTCACCCCCTGCACCTCTGTTCTATATATATAAATACAGCTTTAAAAAAATAAAATTTCAGAAATTACTATTCCAGATCACTCCATCAACTACAAAGACTGGAGAGTGAGTCTTCTCATGTTTTATAAAAGTAGATAAACTGGACTTTAGAAAATGTTTAATCTTTGTTCTTCAAAAGATATCAAGAAGTAAAGACAATATTTGCAAATCATACACTTGATAAGGAATTTATAACTAGAATTCTTACAACGCAAAAGTAAAAAAAAAAACTTAAAAATAAGCAAAGGGTCTGAACACATATTTCTCATAAAAAAAATCTACAAATGGCCAATAAGCACATAAAAAGCTGCTCATCATTAGTCACTAGGGGAAAATAAATCCAAAACTACAATGAGATACTACTTCACATCCACTAGGATGGCTAAAGTAAAAAGGCAATAACAAATGTTGGGGTAATAAAATGGTAAGAGGTTGGCAGTTCCTCAAATTGGTAAATGATTCAGCAATTCCACTGCTAGGTATACATACAAAAGAAGACATACATACACACAAAGCAGCATTGTTTGTAACAACCAAGAAGTGGAAACAACCCAATGTCCATCAACCAATAGATAAAAAGCATCGCAATGTCTCTACACAATATTACTGAGTATTACTCAGCTGTAGCGTGGAAGGAAGTACTGACGGGCTATGACATGGTCGAGAACATGCTAAGAGAAGGAATGTAGACTCAAAGGCCACATATTAGGATTCCTTTTATACTGGAAAAGTTCAGAAAAGCCAAGTCCATAGAGAAAGTAAATGTGGAGCTGCCAGAGACCACGGGATAGGATCACTGGAGTGACCACTAATGGGTACAGGGTTTCTCTTTGAGGTGATAGAAATGTTCTAAAATTACAGCATGGTGATGGTTGCACATCTTTATGCTAAAAGACAATTTAAAGGGATGAACTTTTATGATGAGTTATACTCACATACATACTCAGCTTACATCTTCACATAGAAGCTGTTACTAAAATATGTAAAATCCTTTGACAGATCTTCTTTGCCAAGACACTTCAGTAAGTGAAGCATTCAAGTTCTTTCATCACCTATATCCAGCTAAATCTTCAACCTTCATCTCCTGCTATTTTTTTCTTCCTGCCCTAAATATATCATGCCTTTTTATGATACCATGCCTTTGCACACATCATCATGGCTGTCAAGAATGCTGAGCTCCCTCTTCTCTTTCTGTTGAACTCTTACATATCCTTCAAGACCAAACATTGTTTCCTCTAAGAATTATCCCTTACAAGCTGATCACCCCTGCTATGCTAATAAATACGGTGTGTCTGCCCTTGCTAATAGACTTTGAACTCCCTAAGTTAACTAGACAGCATCATCTTCAGCCCCAGGATCTAATGCTTGTAAACACTTAGTAAATGTTTACTGAATAAATGAATAACAAAATGCTCCCTCACTAAGGCTAGAAATAGAGCTATTTTTTCCTCCAACTAGTTTAATTGGTAAAAACCATACAAATATAACTTGAGTTCTGGCCTTTAGAGACTAATAAAATGAAATAATAATACAAATTTGAGGCCAACATGGAGACTTAAGGAAAATTACCATAAAGTAACATTTCATGAGGGTTCATAGTTCAGATACTTATCACTGTTGACCGAACACACTTACCGAAGTCAATACTCTTTTATTCAACATATTAAATGTGTTGTTTAACTCTGGTAACCACAGCTGTGACTTAGTTAACGATCTCAATAAATCCTACTTAAATCAGAGACAGGAAAAAATTATGCAAATGAATTCTTATCTGTTTTTCTGCCCAAGGCATATTTGATAACAGATAAAACATACTCCAAATAGTCTCTACTTAATAGTCAGGAAGCCATTTGAGGCTTTATTTGGATCAAAATCAAATACAAAGAAGAGGAGACGCCTGTTACATTCATAAATGCTTTTATTTCAGAAAGAAATTACACATTAAAAGGCGGCATAGTTAAGAGCTTACAATCACATATGGAAGTGAATCTAGGAAAGTCAACAGTTATTAATATACAACGCCATGTGATTAAAAAAGACAGAAACAGAGAATGACAGATGGGCTTGCCTTACACTGATCCACAAAACAATATCTTTTGTTTAAAAACAAGATATTGGTCTTGACGATAGCTCATAGAAAAGAATTTGTCATTCCAATGGACTTTAAAAATCAAACTGTCACTCTGGCCTCCATATAGGCTGGGTCACACCACACTCCCCAAGCAGCATGGAAATCGCCCATCAGTCACACCTGGCAGCTGGCCAGGATGTCTTCCACTAATCTCTTGTAAACCCAAGCATCACCCTTAAGCCGCTGCCTCCTGATGCCCACCACATCGGGTTTTTGAAGCTGGCACACTTCTAGTTCAAACTGCATTGTCACTTTGCCAAAATCTGACTGTGTTTGACACTTCAGTGTATAGCTGTGAAAAACAAGATAAGAAGCCAGTTAGTAAAAGAATCATGAATATTCTGTATGATACAAGAGATTTCTAAGTCTGTAGGAGGTTGGTGAAGAAGCCATTATTTCATGTAAGTAATGTGTCACTGCTTACAGTTTCCAAACGACCTAGCTATGCTTTAGTGGTGGAGTATGACTGGTGTTTTCTCAGAAGCTGAACTAGGATCTTAAGAAAGAATAAGGATGAAAAGGCTTTACCAGAATTTGCCCTTGCTCCAAAGAAAAGCTCCTCTTTCATAGCTACACATGCCATTCATGCTCAAGAAATCTTCTGGCATCCTTTATGCTATTCTTTCAACAGTGTAATCCGAGAACATTAAGCCATTTCCACAATGTTCACAGCAAAAGAAGGCACAGGAAAGATGAAGAATATGTTTTGTAGGCACCTCATCAGAAGCTTCTGTCTTTCATATAAATAAACCTGAAGCCACTTACCTATCAGAACACGTGCCTTTCAGTTATTCTAGCAGCGATTAGAATCATCACACTACTTTATGGCAGAGTTACAAAAGGAAGTCAGAGCTGGTACACTGGGATGTATGGCATTTATAATTAGAACTGCCATGTTACCTCCTTTGATAATGGAAAGGCCCAGTCTAAACGAAGCCTTAAACTCATCTTAAGAAATAGGTGTGTTTCTGAAGACTTGCATAAATTGATTTCATGCAAATCAAATTGTTTTCTAAATTAGTTCACGTAATATTAAAATTTTACTGAATTGCCTTACTGATCTCCAATAAACAAACACTGGAACAACAGAACTAAAACACTAGAAACAATAGAGTTGATTTTAAATGACAGGCTCTTAAATAATTAGAGGCACATGATTAGTGTTCTATAGAAATGTGGAGAAGTTACTATGTATCTGTTATATAATAAAAAATTCACATATTCTTTTTCTTAGTGATGGGCTTGAGCTGTTAAAAACATTTACTGAAATCTAAGGAGAGAACCTTGATAAAGTTCTTGCTGGGCCGAAAAAGCATATTACTAATATGGAAGATAGAAAGTCATCCTTCTTGACTGAAAAAAACATGCTAATGGAATATAAGCAATATCTCTCTCTACTGGAAAACTTTTTGTTGTTCTGCTTTGTCACAAAGAAGGTAAAACCATAGACAGGGAGAAAAGGGGAAAAGGATAAAGGCAGAGACCTCATCAGGAAATAAGAAGAAAGTTATCTGACAGATCAGATGGCTGAAGGAAAGATAATTGAAAGTTTTTTAATATGTATTTGTCTAGAGGTTCTGGAACCATAAGGAAACCCCAAACACCAATATCAGGTCACAGTGCTTGAGAAGTGTTCCAGCAATACCGAGTGAAGGGTTCCCCAAGGTCACCTGCCAACATTCACAGGGAGTGAATGTAAAATTATTTTTGCCAAAGACAGCTTCTTAAAAATCTTTCTTTAGACTGACTCTTCTATTTAAATGTTTTTGTTAACTCTATTAGCAACTCTTCATAGTTGTTTTAATAATACTTTTAAAAACACATAACTAAATGGATTGCATAAAAATATGAACATCTTAGGTAACCAGAAAGTACTGGCTAGTCAGACCATAATCAAGGATATCTGGATGGCAGTTTAATCAACCATGGGCAAGTGTTTAAGTAAAATAACTTCTTAAAGGACTGAAAATGCAATCCTGCAAAATAGCAAGTCACAAAGAAAAGGATTTTATATAAATGGTGCACTTGTTTCAAGTGCCACAGAAATTTAGATTGCACTTTGTAAATATTTTGTGATGCAGAATATTAACTGAAAATGCAAAAGAAATCTGGAAGAAGTTATAATTTTCTTATTTTGAAAAATTTAACATTGAAATTGGTAACAAAATAAGTGCTTGAAAACAATTATAGCAGTCCTCCCTCGTGGTACAACAGGTTAAAGCACAGCAGGGTGAAGCTATCCACTGCCACTGCAGCATGAGTTTAATTGCCGGCCAGGGAGGTGACCCACATGGTGTGGCAGACCTCTCCTCACCCAGCCACTGCTCCCCTTAGCAGTGTATTTCAGTACATCTGTCTGTTCTGCTCCCCACTCTGTCTCTGGTGAATCTTCTCATCTCCTGCAACTCTGGCCTGTACCCCAGTTCTTATATGCAAAAATAAATAACTCTTAAAAAAATAAACATCTATACCTCATACAAAGCAAAAGAGAATCAATTACGGTAGTGTCACTTATACTACTACATAACTTTTTGAGAATACAGTAGAAGAAATTAATTTTTTTTAAGTGGAGACAGGAATCAATCCATATTTTCTTAAAGCTGAAAAGATAAGAAGTTATAAACACAGCATCCTTTGAATGTGTTTCTTACCCCTTTTGTACAAAGTCAACGTGCTTCTTTGGAAGAACAGACATGATTTCATTCAGGAGTTGATCTGGATTCACTAATCTGGTTGTAGTCACATTATAGTGAAGCTTGAAAAAAAATAGGAATGAGAAATCTTTACAAAGATCATCGTAGCTGATAGAGAATCCAAAAGCTCCTTAATATAGTACCATTTCAAATGGAAATATTTCAAGAAAAATACTGAAAGAATTTGCATTAAATGCTTAATAAAGCAGATTAAGTTTAATCCAGGTACATTTAATACACTGGAAAAGCTTAGAAAAAATCATATATAATAGTAACTACGTGCACACTATTCTGTTTATACTTTCATTTTTCTTTCCTACTAGTCTAATCTTTTTCAAGAAATTATGAATGTCTATGTTTGAACTTTTTATCTTTCTCCCTTTATACTATGATAAAGACATTAAGTCCTGAAATAGAGACTGCGGGAAGATGAAACAAATGTCCTAGAAATTTGGTTTGTACAGTTGGAAATGTTTCCTTCATTCTGTCTTGATTATTTAAAAAATATTACAGAATTCTAGGAACTGATTCTATGACAACTGTATGAGAGAATTAATATAAAAAGTATTCCTTTAAAATAGAAAGCCAAATCATTTTTTTCTCATTGAAAGGAAGTTTCATTCCTAATTGGAATATCCCACCATTCATTCATTCAACCACCATTTACTGAAGGATCACTTGTGTGTCTGGCACCATTTTTAATAAGTGCTAGAGATAAAACCCCTACCTTTCTGGTAGTGCCTTTGGTGTCAAATAAAATCACTTCTTTCCAATTTAGGCTCTTTGATACATAGACACAGCTTCCTCTTAAGTAAATCTAGGTCATAAACATCTTAATTGGGGTGATGGCTTGTTTCACAGGTACATATATAATCCAAAGCATATTAACTGTGCACTACACATGTACTATTTATAGCATATCAATTTCACCTATGTAAATCAGTATTTTTTAGAGTCAATATAAAGAAAAATACTAGATAAATAACAGCACAGGTGAAATGTGATCTGGAGGTGAGTTAAATGCATGGAGTTTGGGGATCCCACATTCAAGTGATAAAGGGACAAGTGGCCCAGCTACAACAGGCTTCTCTGTCTCCTGACTCCCAATCCAGGGCTTTCACCAAACAAAACCAGCTTTGTCAAGATAATAAACTGAATTTCAAATCATAATTTAAGTGATTCCTTAAATAAAATAGCTTATTTAAATTTCATATTTTTATAGACTGTTTCCTCAAAAGGACTTAACTATATATGATTTGTTACCTTAAAAAAGCTGAGGTCTTCTTTTGTACCCCCCCTTTTAACTTTTCTGTAAATTTGTAATATTTTTATATAAGTAGAAAAAATGAGCTCATTTCCTAAATCAAGTCCTTCAGCTCTGAAAAAACTTAAAAGCATTACACAGAATTAAAGATCCAAAGTTCACTTGTATTTTCGATCTTAGGTCTGTGCCCATCGGGACTATGGCTCTGTTACATTGGGATTAAAATGCTCAATACTGATAATTATAATGATACTCAACATTGAAACACCTCCTATACTAAAATAAAGCACCTGATATGCAGTGTAGCATCTCATACAGTCTTATTTATTATACATCCTGGCTCCATGACATTACCAGGGTAGGCATTAGCTCCAGTATTTACAAATAAAGAAATGGAGGGGGTTCTGGTAAGTCCTATCTGCTTCCACTTTAAGACATTATATAAATTTGGCAGCTCAGAACATTCTCACAAGAAGCAGCTTCTACCCAATAATTCAACATTTTCCTTCTCCCAAACCTGCCCATGTTTGTTCAAAATGAGTATCAGTACAAAAATCCATAAAGATTCAGTCCCCAAACCACTACTACCTTCTCCTCCCCTTTGGGTTCCACAACTCCTGAAAACTCACAGTGCTGAGTCCCGTGTATCTGAGCAACATCCATTCCTTTATGAATTCCTTAGACATGGCTGTGTCTTGTTCATCCCTTTACCTCTTACTTCCCCCAAACAAAAAGGTCATTCATTGGAGGTTTGAATGAATGCTCAGAGAATCCAAGAGAGTAAGAAGTATTACATATCTACTATTCACTTATTTTTCTTTTCCGTACCAAAGAGATTGTCCACAACAGTGATACATTAAGCTTTTAAAGCACAATAGGTCTATCAGATAAGGAAATGGAGGGGGTTCTGGTAAGCACAAACCTCTTAGCCAGCCCCTGAGGACCCTTTTTTCCCAACCTGTAGCTCACCTTTTCATTTCACATACTATATGCAAAGTTCAAATTAATCTCCCATGCATTCAAATATTTATGAGCACCTACAAAAATTTACAGGTGACAGTGAACTCATCTATGTGTCCGAGATAAGGCAACTGAGCTCAAGTCATCTGTCGGGGACAGAGACCAGGACTTTGCCTCCTATGCACAAAACACTTGATCGGAACTTAGGGTAGACATCCTGGTTGAGAATGCAGCACACCCAAATCCCTTCTCCCACTCCTTTCTCCCTCAGAGCTCAGCAAGTTCCTGCAGCTGAGAATGGTTTTATCTCTGGCTCCCGAGATAAGTGTCCACTCCCTTAAGATGATTACGGATCCCTCCCCTCAAACCCATTGGCCTTTAAGACATTAAACCATCAAGACCACCCCCCACTGGCACTAACTGCAACGCCCTCTTTGTATACATATATATATAGCTGTACGACACAATAAAATGCTCTCTCTGCTGCACGATCGATCGACTCTCTGCCTTCTCCTTTCGTCGACCCTGAGACCCCAATCCTCGGCCTTGCTGGTCAAGGTCCCCCGCAGTCATCCTTAAGGCAGCTTTCTGTTCTTTATACATGCCCTAGGCTTCCCCAACTTACATGCTGCCTAATTCCTCCACCTGAACTTGAATATCTGAAATATGTTTATGCAGTCCTTGAAAGAAGTTACTGAACTTAACATACCTATGTGTTCTCGAAGCTCAGAAATTAGGAATATATGTATTTTAGGACCTCACAAAAATGTGTATTCATTTAATAAATAAGTAAATGAAAAACAAGAAATACAATTCATTCATCCAGTATCTTTCTTTAAAAAAATAAAAAGTAGTCAACCCAACGGTCCACAGCTAGCTCCTGAAATCCACATTAAAAACCAGGCTAGGGCCGTCTCTGGTGGCGCAGCGGGTTAAAGCACAGCACAAAGAAGCTGCTTCCGCGTGAGTTCCATTCCCGCCTGCCCCGGAAGTAACCACATGGCGAGGCAGACCTCTCCTGACCTGCCCGCTGCTCCCCTCAGCAGTGTACTTCGTCGATCTGCCTGTTCTGCTCCCCGCTCTGTCTCTGGTGAATCCTCTCACCCTCCGCATCTCTGTACGAATAAATAAAATAAATCTTTAAAAAAACAAAAAAAAAAAAAAAAAAAAAAAAACAAACCAGGCTACCCACCTTCCTTTTCTTTATCCCGTCTTTGGCAGTGCCCTTCTTTTTGCTCCTGGTAAGCACAGTGATAACCTTATCCAACCCCCTTTCCAGGCTCCCAAACACTTTAGTTCCTTTTCTTTTCGGTGTATCCTCTACATGTACTTGATTGAGATCCAGTTCTACTGAACGGCACCTTAAAAAGAAAAACACCCGAGTAAAGCTGGGCATCCTGGTTGTTGGGGCCCTTGCGGGGTTTTCTTGTCTGTTCTTTAGATGTGGTTCATTCAGGTCCAGCAGTGCCAGACCATCCCCCACTTCCTCAGAAGTGTGGGTACCATCTCCCATTGAAATGCAGCCATCACATGCCCGCCTAACTAACTGCCACTTAAGGCAAAATTATTTTCCCCCTACCATTTTTTAAAATGTGAAATATACAGAAAAGTCAAAAATAGTATAGTTAACAGTGAGCCATCACGTATCCTTAGATTCAACAATTGTTAATATTGTGCCATACTTGCTTTTTCTAATTGATAGACAGAGAGCACATTAAGTGTATGTACAGCTAAACATTGAAAAGTAACCTGTCTGAAGACATTACAACTCTTCACACTGAAACACTGCAGCATGAAAATTGAATACACAGAATGTTTGTCTTTATGACCACAGTACCATATGACATCTAGAAATTGATATAATGGGCCTCCCTAGTGGTGCAAGAGGTTAAGTTTCAGTACTATGATGCTATCCACAGCCACTGTAACATGAGTTCAATACCTGGTCAGGGAGCTAAGCCATGGCACAGCAGACCTCTCCTATCTTGCCTGGTGCTGCCCTCAGCAGTGTATTTCAGTGGTCTTGCCCATTCTGCTCCCCACTCTGTCTCTGCTGAATCCTCTCACCTCCCCCCACCCCCACACCTCTGACTTGCACCCCACTTCTTATATGCATAAATAAATTTTTAAAAATAAAGAAATTATTAATATGCCATTGTGTCATCTAATATCCTATCCACATTCTAATTCCACCAACTGTCCTCAAAATGGAATCTGCTTTTAAGACTTGCTATGAAAGACAATAAAGGCCCTCCCTGGTGGCGCAGCGGGTTAAAGCACTGCACTAAGAAGCTTAAGACACTTCTGCATGAGTTCGATCCCCGCCTGCCCCAGAAGTGACCACATGGCATGGCAGACCTCTCCTGACCCGCCCGCTGCTCCCCTCAGCAGTGTACTTCGT